GCAGTGCGTGCTCGCAGCAGCAGTGAGCTGCACCACTGTGATGCTGCTCGGCAGTGCAGCGCATGCAGCAGAGTGTGCTCGCAGCAGCAGTGAGCTGCACCACTGTGATGCTGCTCGGCAGTGCAGCGCATGCAGCAGAGTGTGCTCACAGCAGCAGTGAGCTGCACCACTGTGATGCTGTTCGGCAGTGCAGCGCATGCAGCAGTGTGTGCTCGCAGCAGCAGTGAGCTGCACCACTGTGATGCTGCTCGGCAGTGCAGCGCATGCAGCAGCAGTGAGCTGCACCAGTGCAGACTGCGTGGCGCTGCCATGGGCTGTTCCCATCCGGGTTGAAGGTAGAGCTTTCAGCTGTTGCCTGGTCTGGATATGCTATTGACCACTGAGTGTTTTCCCAAGCCTAGTATTTTGCCTCCCTGTTTCCTGTCTACTTTATCCCTGAATACCTCTTCATGATATCCCAGATACACCAGTCACAGAGCTCGCTGCCTTGTATTGCTGCTTGGTGCTCATCGGGGTGGTCAGACAGGGAATCTGCTGGGGCCTGTGTCGCATCATGTACAAATGTCTTGGCAGCTGCAGAAAGGGGAACCAAGCTGGCTTTTCTTTGTGTTTCGCTTTTCCTCCAGCGCCCTGGGATGCCATCAGGAGCTCGAATGCCCCATCAGGGGGCTCCCATGGGTCCTCCAGGCCCCCCGTACGTCGGAAGCCCCTCGGTGCGACCTGGGATGCCCCAGACTGTGATGGAAACAACAAGAAAGCGCACTGCACCACAGCAGGTCCAGCAGCAGCAGGTGCAGCAGCAGGTGCAGCAGCAGCAGCAAGCTACTCAGAACCGAGCGAGGAGGTGAGTGTTCTGGAAAGAAAACACAGCAGAACAATTTGAGGAGACAAAGATGGTACCTGTTTAGCAGTAGATATGACTTTTAAGAACAAATAAGACAGAATAGAAGATCTATGTACTGACGTTTTTTTAAGCAGGAAAAACATTAGTAAATTTTACCTTTTTTTTTGTTTGTGAATGGTCTTCAACAAACCAACCTTTAATAATGTCTGGTTTTGTAGTTATTCTGCTTTTACTTTGCAGGTTTGTCAGGCCATGAATTTGTTGAGTATGTTTAGCCTTTAGAATTAATGAACAGTTCTCTTCTAATATAGTACAATTATTTTATTATTTGTTGCCTCTTCTGTGTAGTTGCTCTGATTTCTGACTGGCTAACCTAATAGTTTGTAAATGACACAAGTAGAAAAAACTTTGGTTTGTCATGTGAATGTTTGTACTACGGTCACTCAGAAGAGAGGTCATAAAACTTGCAGTTGTCCCAAATGTTTTTACATACAAAGTAAATAAATATGCACTGGAAGTATTTCATAAAATTAGAGGGATTTCTGTGTGGAACTTTCTTTTTGAAATATGCCCACCTTGCACATTGTTGAATACATTCTCTCTTAAATAGGTTAACTAATTTCTTCTTGCAGCAAATTAGACCTCATCAGTCTTGAGTGTTGAGTGGTGTCCACACGCACATAGGGTGCAGTCATCTGTGTGGGCTACCTTTTGCAGAATCATTATAGATGTATATACAGCTTCAGGCAGTGTTCTGGTGGTGTCAGGGAATCCAGCTGTATGTAAAACATGACTCCCTGAGCTGAGTTCCTCAGGAGCCCTGCTCTGTCTGGGTTATATACCTTGGATCAGCAAGCCAGATTTGGGAATGCTTGTGTCTGGGATGCATCTGGAAAGGACACTGATCTTGAGACTGTTAGTACATTACAATTGAAAAAGGTTGAACACAGAAGGAATGTGTGTGAGTGCAGCACATGAGCACAAGCAGTGCATGTACTTCTTGGAGACCTTTCCCAGCACCAGCCAAAATGCACATTCTATAGCACCTCCCAGGAGGTTCTCCAAGAAATTGCATGAAATAATGCCACAAAATAATGCCCATGCTTCAGGTCTTAGGGTGGATATAACCTGACAGATTGCCCCTGCTGGATAATTAAGGTAAACTTCAGTCACTAACTAGTTGCCAGGGAGCATTAGAGGACTGTATTTGATAAAAGTTGGTGGCTTGACTCACAGAAAAAAGTTCCCCTCCCCTGTTCTTAACTTCAGTGTTTCTAGTTTGAGAGCCAGCAGTGATCTCCTCTGCCTTGAGTCCAGTTCACACCAGTGCTGCCTGGGTATTCAGAGAGTTTCTCCGTTTCTTCTGCCGTGCCTTCCCTTCAGCTAATGTGTTGATTGTTTTCCCTTTTTTCATTTCCACCTCCCTGTGGTTTTCCATTATGTGTTTTTCAGGCACACTTTTCTGGCACCTTGGGCCCAATTCTGGGGGGGAAATCAGTTCCATGTTTTCTAGCATGGTCCAAGAAAGTTGCCCTTGTCCTTTCTTGGCAGGTTTGGTGGAGACAAAATTCTCCTTTCTGTAAGAGATTATTGAAGAACTGGTTGAGATCCAAATTCTTAGGGGATGTTGCTTTGTTTTTTTCTTGCTTTTTATTTGCAAGCCTATGGGGTTGCAGGTACATGCATATCCCTATCCCTTTGGGAGGCTGGGGCTTGCTCAGCCTTTGCTTCCAGATTCAGTGAAGTGTTTCAGTGCAGATTTCATTCTGTGAGCGGTGGAAGGTGTTGGAGTTTCACACCCTGTGACATTCCATTCCCATTATTCCTACACTTGTAAAAGGGACATTGTACACCTATTGGGTGTAACTGAATTTTCTGTCCACTGTACCTCCAGGCACAAAGAGTTCCTCAGCCTTGGCTTATGTGGGCATGGGGAAGAGTCTCAAGAATCTGGTATTTCAGCCCTGGCTCATTTATTAACAAATGTAGGAAGAGACCATGCCACATCAATGTGTGGAAACTGCTTTTATGTGGACACGGCTGATGACAGACTTGCAGTGTGAAAAGGAGGGGTGTCCTTGTGACATGGCAGAGTGGCAGCAGCTGGTTTGCTTTCTCTCATTTGTCCCTCACAGACGGAGTGATTAATCTCCTGCTTAAGATAAAGGCCTTACAAGTTAAAGAGATGGGACCTGAATTCCCTCTTGGCCCCTGTTAGAGGAAGCTGGGTGACAGGTTTGGTGGGTGTGATCAGTTCTTAGAATCTGAAGACAGTCTTCCTGACAGCAGCATTTCTCAGGCACACACAGATTTGTGTTTATGTACATGAGTACAAGTATGTTTTTAAATGCATGGCTATAGAAATGTGCCTGTGTATGGGTATGGACACAGTATGTATACACACTGCAGGCACACCTACATCTTCCCACATCTGTGTTCATAAAGATGAAGAAATGTGACAATGTAAGGTCTTCCACCTTTATCCGTCACTCATGCAAATATGATAAGTAAAACAAGTGTGTATGTACATATGAAGGAAGGATGTGAATATGCGTGTGTTTTCATACATCATATGAAATACACACACATGTATGTGTGTTCTTCAGCACTTAATTTTGGGCTTGATGGAATAAATGCGTGTTGTCTGTTTGAACAAGTTGACATGCCATTTGCAGGCTCTCAGCCACTCAGATGTGCACACCGTAGGTGTGTCTGTGCACGCCACGTGTGAGACTGTGCTCTGCACGCTTATCCGTGCCCAGGAGCAGTGTGTGCACATGCACTTGCATGTATTGCCGCCCTGCACCACACAAGATGCTGTGATCAAAGAACTTGCAGACTTCTTTCCAGGATGCATAACAGACAGCCCTGATTTGTTCTTACCTAACTGCCTCCCCAGGCTGCTGAGAGAAGGGGTACAAGGTCCTGGGCATGGGTGAGACCCTTTTGCTGATGCATGCACAGCTGTGCACCAGCATGTGGAGATGTCAGGATAATTTAGCAGGTGGCCTCGTTACTCCTAGATCTGTCACCATGGTAACGTGTTTTTTTCTTTAAAAAATGTACAGTGCCAAGAGGAGGAAGATGGCTGACAAAATTCTCCCTCAGAGGGTGAGTCGCTTTCATTTCCTATTCCCTTCACAATCAGTTCAGCATCTTAGTGTAATTAGAGGAATTTTAGAAAATTCTTTCACTTTTTGTTTAAAAATCTAATTAAAAAGTAAGTAGGCAGTGGGTGCAAGTGGAGAGCAGGCTGGGCTGGGGGCTGGGAGCGGAGCAGCCCGGCCTGCGCGGCCTCGCGCCTGGGTTAGCCGAGCCAGCACTGCCGCTTGCTGGAGGCTCCGCGGCGCTGGGCTGCCAGCGCGGCCCTCGGGGCTCCGCACGGCTCCTGCTCCTTGCTGAGCCTGCCCAAAACCCGCTCCAAGTGTGGCTGTGCCTCCGGGGCTGGGCGCACGCTCAGGTCTCTGGCCCAGTGCAGCTGCCAGGTTATGATTTTTGTGGTTGTGTCACCATAGGGCTGAAGTGAGCCTGTGTAAACAACAGAGTCCGAGGGGTCGGTATTGTCTGGAGAGTTACTAATTCTCTTATCCCTGGGGATATGTCTGGCTTTTGGTGTCTGCCTATGTTTGATCCTCAGTGCTTACATCTTCTACTTCCTTTCTAAACATTGGGATTTCTCTCTGCTCTCCTCTCTCATTATTCCCATACTTTTCTTTATCCTCTTCAGTACAGTTCACAAGAAACTGCTTGGTCCCCAAAGGCTTCAAAATACATACCCTTGTCACATCCTAATCTAAGTTGCTTTGACTTCTGATGCTTTTTCTGGGCTCAGAATCCCTTGGACAGGTGTGTCCTTTTCTTCCATATCCTTTTCAAGTTTTCAAGTTCCACTGCTAAAGTGAGCCCAAACTTGCTGGCATACTCCAAAGTCACTTCTGTGACATTTCACAGGTGCCTGCTACCAGCAATCCAAAGAGGTGAGCCCACTTTGGTACTCCTGATGTTATGCTATCACTTCTTCTCTTGTTACTCTTGCCACTTTCTGAAAGCAGAGCCTTTCATATGTAAGCCATTAGATCTCTTATGTTGCTGTCTTGAAAGGACTAAGCTACCATTAAACCCAGATCTTTGAACCACTTGCAGCCTCCCTGCTAATTATGTTGAAGCCTCATTCCTGCTCTGCTGGTGGTCTGTACCTTTTTTATAATCAAAGCTAAGTTTCTTGTACTGTCAGTTTTGTCTGTCCCACACAAACTGTTTTCACAGACAATGATGCATCCTGTATAGTGAGGCTGTTGCTGGAAATATATGTCCATTTCAAGATGCTTTTAGTTTTGTTTTAGGTTGGTTGGTTGTGGGAGTGTTTATATTTTTGGTTTTTATTTTGTGTGTAGCCTTTATAAGATTAAAAGGTATAAGAGGCAATCAGACTTTTTTGCCAGCAGAAGATCACTGACTCTGTTTACCAAGTCCATGATAATTCTTTAATAGGTTTTCCCAGGGAGATGTGAATGTGATCCACCATTCTGTTTTTTTGTCTTCCTTGCCTACCCATTCTGATGCAGGAATCTCAGCTGAAAACCATTCTGGCTCCATATAGCTGTGCCCATCTCTGCTTTTCCTTGTTTAACTTACAGAGTGGAGTTCAACTTTGAAACAGCAAACTGCCCCTCCTTCTGTGGCATGCTTGTCTCTTAGTATTGGCTGCTGTTCTTCTCACTCAGCCCCAGATTCCTGAGGACTTTTTGTCTAGATGTGCTGACAAGGTTTTTTACACCTGTCCTCTCCTTTTCATCTTCTCTACTTCATTTTCCTTCACACAAATATTTAGTCAATTTTTGCTGCTGCTGTTCACTGACCACCATGTGGAATTCTCTGCACAGATCCCATGCCATAATAGCTGTCCTGCTGTGGGTTGGTCACTGCATGGCTGTTGTCCACTTGTTTCTTCATCTGAGCCAGCCAGAGGTGAGGAACACCTGGATCTGCCATTCTTTCATGTAAGAAAGAAGAGGTTAGGGGTGTGATAGTCAGGGGAAGCCTTGGATATAGCAACTATGAAATAGAGAAATTAAAGATCTTGCCAGGGATGAGGAAGGAGAGTAGTCAAGTACAAACCCTGGACTTTGGACAAGCAGAGTTTGCCTTAATCAGGGGACTGGTAGGTGTGATTCCTTGAGAAGCAGCTTTGAGGGGCAAAATGTCTCAAGGAATCTGGGAGGTCTTTAAGGTCCTTTAAGAGCAGCCTGCTTAAATGCAGGGAAATGAGCAGATTTATGAGGAGCCCAGAATTAGGTAATCACAGTGCTGGTCCCAACGTCAAAAGGCAATGTACAAGAAGTGAAGCAGGGACAAGGTTACAAAGGAGAAGTTTAGAACAATTGCCTGGGCATTGCAGGGAATGGTATCAGCAAAGTCAAAGCTCAGCTGTAGTTGAGATCTTCAAGGGACATCAAGGAGAAGAAAAGCTTCTTCTATTGCACTAGTAATAAAGGCTGACCAAGGAGAATGTGTGCTCCATGCTGAGTGGGCTGGGTGATCCAGTGATGACAGAGACAATAAGTCTGAAGCACTCAAAGCCTTCTTTGTTCAGTCTGCACTAATGATGCCTCCCGTGCCCTGTGATCAGTGAACACATCCAAGAGGAGCAGGCCACAGTGGACAGGGATAGGGCCAGGGGTTCGTTGAGGAAACTTGACCCGTACAACTCCATGATATCCAACAGGCTACGTCTGAGGGAGCTGAGAGAACTGGCCAATGTCCTTTCAAGGTGACTCTCTCATACATAATAGTCTTGTGTTCAGGTTGGGACATTTTGGTCTGAATGGGCTGACAGCCATGTGGGTGCATGATGAGGCTGAGAAGGTGGCTAATGGTTGCTCAGAGTGCTGCAGGGATGTGTCACAGCAGCTGATTAGTCCAGCATCCTTGCCACTGGAGGAGGCAGTGCCATGATGGCTTATGAAATCTACAGATGACACCAATCTCTGTGTGGGGAAACCAGTTGATATGCTTGTGGACATGCTGGAGGAATGAACCAACAAGAACTTTCTGAAAGTCAACTAAGTCAAATGTTCTTCCTTGAGAAAGAGGAGGGCTGCCTGGCTGAGAAGCAACACTGGTGGACAGCGAGCTGAGTGTGAGCAGGAGGTATGTCTTGTCAGCAGAGATGACTAACAGTGTCCAGAGCTCTGTGTCCGGGAGCACAGCCAAGAGATTGAGGCACTTGATTACCCTTCTTTGCTCCATACTCGATAGCTCAGTGCTAGAGCACTGTGTCTAGTTTTAGGATCCTGAATTCAAGAAAAACATTGGCAAACTGGACTAAGGTCAGTGGATGATTGTCAGGTCGATTGAATGACTGGATCAGCACATGAGAAAAGACTGAGACAGCTGGCCTTGTTCAGCCTGAAGGATGCCTCTGAGGGGACCGAGCAATATCAATGGCTTGCCATGTCCTAAGAGAGGAGGACCAAGAACATGGATTGCTTTTGCTGTTTTACTGGACTGTGTTACCGGCTCTGTAGTAGTCAGTCAGAAATCCTCCTCAAACCACTCTCTCTTAGGGGTTATGGAGTTGCACAGTTGTGATTTATAAGGAATGTCAGCCCTTAGCTGTCTTTCTTTAACCATAGAAGCCTCAGTGGTAGAGATACTTGTGTCAATAAGCTATAGTCTAAAGATTCTCAGCAGGGAAACTGACCAGTAGCTGCCAGGTCAGACTTCAGTCACTGCCACTTAAGATAAAAATTCTGGTTCTCAGCAATACATGTGAAATACATGGGTTATGTCCATCTGCCATAGGTAGTAAAAAAGGCTAAGGATCAAATTGAACTTGTCAAACTTGGGGGAGGAAGAGGTTTTGGATTTTGTTATCTGTCTCAAAGACAGAAATTCTTGGGTAGCCTAATTCTGAAGATGCTGCCAAATTTCTATTTATTAGTTATTTTTTTTTATTTTAAATCAAGATTACTGTATCTGTTTTGTTTGTCCTGCTTAAGCAGTGAAGAATGCAGCTCCAGTTGTTTCTGCCTGCAATAGATCCAGTTTTATTTACTGGGTTTTTTCTGTGATCCTGGAGGTGCACAACAATAGGACCTGTGAAAGATTTGTTGGCCAGCTGTTGTATAAAACAGGTTCAAATTACATCAGCTTGCTCAGGACCTTGTCCAGATGGGTTCTGAATACCTCCAGCCAAGGATGGACACTTCAGAGCATTTCTTGGCAGCCTGTTCCAAGGTTTTAATACCATAATGTGTTTTGTTTATTCTGTCAGAAGTTTTTTTTCCAAACCAATTCCTTATAGGGAGTGAATTGCCCATGCTGCAGTGAGTTTCTGCTGCCTCTCACCCTAATCTCGTGCATCTCCAGGGGGAGGCTGGCCCTGTCTGTGCTTCACCAGTCCCCATGGCCATCGCACTCTCCCGGGCAACCTCCTTTTCCCTTTTCTTCTCCAGGCTGGGGAAGCTCTTGCGGCTTCTCCTGGCAGGTCTGTGCTCCAGCCCCCAACGTGCTCGGCAGGCCTTGCTCCAAGATGTCACATCTTTGTGGTCCTGTGCCCACCAG